GAGACAGAAAGAGAGAGAGCGGCGCCGCAGGATGGGCCAACGGTTGGCCAACCTCAATGGAAGACTGGCCAATGGAAGGTTGACCAATGGTTGGCCAACCTCAATGGAAGACTGGCCAACGGCACTGACCAATGGCTGGCCAACCTCAATGGAAGGTTGACCAATGGCTGGCCAACCTCAATGGAAGATTAGCCAATGGAAGGCTGACCAATGGTTGGCCAACCTCAATGGAAGATTAGCCAATGGAAGGCTGACCAATGGTTGGTTGACCAACAGTTGGCCAACCTCAATGGAAGGTTGGCCAATGGAAGATTGACCAATGGAAGGTTGACCAATAGCATTGGCCAATGGTTGGCCAACCTCAATGGAAGGTTGACCAATGGCAGCTCTACCCACAGGCTCAGCCAGCTGGACGTTTGACCAATCAGTGGTTGGCCAATGGCATTGACCAATGGTTGGCCAACCTCAATGGAAGGTTGGCCAATGGAAGGTTGACCAAAGGCTGGTTGACCAATGGCATTGACCAATGGCTGGCCAAGCTCAACAGAAGGTTGACCAATGGTTGGCCAAGCTCAATGGAAGGTTGGCCAATGGCAGCTCTACCCACAGGCTCAGCCAGCTGGACATTTGACCAATGGTAGCCTTGACCAACAAAACCTTGGCCAATAAGTGGTTGGCCAACTGGAGACTTGGCCAATGGTGGATCTACCCACAGCCTTGGCCAACAGTAGCCTTGGTTGCCTGTGGTTTGGCCACCTGGAGCCTTGGCCAACCACAGCCTTGGTTTCCATTAGTTTGGCCACCTGGAATCGTGGCCAATGGTAGCCCTGAGTGATTGGAGGTTGGCCAACAGCACCACTGGCCAACTGTAGCCTTGGCTGTCTCTAAGTAGGCCAACAGTAGCCCTGGTCAACCACACCATTGGCCAACCACATCCTTGGCCGCCTGGAGTTTGGCTACCTGGAGCCTCGGCCACCAACTGCAGCTCTGCCTCTGCCTTGGCCACCATCTTGGAGTCTTGGCCACCGATCGTAGTCTGCTCGTACCTTTGGCTACCCGTGACCTCGGCCACCACCTGTCCCTGTGCCTGTAGCCTTGGCCACCACCTGTAGCTGAGCAGTGACCTGTACTTTGGCCACCTGTAGCCCTGCTTACCTACAGCTTGACCACCTATCACCTCGGTAGCCATGGCTACCTGAAACTGGACCACCTGCAGCCCTGTCCACCTGTAAATTTGGCCACCTACACCTTGGCCACCTGTGCCCTTGACCACTGGTAGCCCTGTCCACCTACGGTTTGGTCACCTGAGCCTTGACCACCGGTAGCCTTGGCCACCTGTATCTCGACCACCAACACCCTTGGCCACCTGTACTTCAACCACCTACACCTGTAGCCTCGTTTGGCCACGCCCGCTCGCCCCGCCCCGGTACTTACCTGGCTCCCGGCCCCGGGGTGGGGGTCACGGGGCGCCCCAGGTGTGGGTGGGGGGGTCAGACATGCGGAATGGGGGGGTTGGGGGAATTTGGGGGTCCCGGGGGGGGGTCTGGGGGTACTCACAGTGCATGTCCCGCTCGTGCTCGTACTCGATGAAGGCGTAACCGCGCGGCTTCCCCGAGCGCTTGTTGTACACCATGTAGATCTGCAGGTGGGGACAGGTGAGGGACAGGTGAGGGACAGGTGGGGACAGGTGAGAAACAGGTAGGAATGGTGTGGGACAAGTGGGGACAGGTGTGGGACAGGTGTGGGACAGGTGGAGATAGGTGTGGGAGAGGTGAGGACAGGTGTGGGACAGGTGGAAATAGGTGGGGGACAGGTGGGGACAGGTGTGGGACAGGTGAGGACAGGTGTGGGACAGGTGTGGGACAGGTGGAGATAGGTGAGGGACAAGTGTGGGACAGGTGAAGACAAGTGTGAGGCAGATGTGGGACAGCAGGTGAGGACAGGTGTGGGACAGGGGGACAAGTGTGACACCTCAAAAATCAGGAATTGAGAGACAGGTGTGTGAGACAGGTAAGGGACAAGTGGAGGACAGGTAGGGACAGATGAGGGACAGGTGTGGGACAGGTGTGGGGTAGATGTGGACAGGTGGGACGGGTGGGGACAGGTGAGGGGGCAGATGTGGGACAGGTGTGGGACAGGGTGTGACACCCCAAAAACCAGGAGTTGTGAGACAGGTGTAGAACAGATAAGGGACAGGTGTGGGACAGGTGTGGGACAGGTGTGACCACCCCAAAAATCAGAGGCTGGGGACAGGTGTGACCCCCAGGACAGCGGGCAGTGGTCACGGGGATCTTTGGGGGAGAGATTTGTACACCAGGTACATCTGTAGGTGTGAGGGGACAGGTGTGACACCCCAAAAATCAGGGGGTGGGGGACAGGTGTGACACACCTGGACACCAAGGTGGGGTCAGGGGGGTGTTTTTTGGGGGTGACCCCCCCCACTCACCCTCTTGATGGGGCCATAAACCTCAAACTCTCGGCGCAGCTTCGACTCCGTCGTGTCGTAATTCTGGCAAAAAACGAGGAGGGGTCACCCCAAATTGGGGCTGGGGGAGGTTCCCAAGAACTGGGGGACCCTGGAACGTTGGGGGGGAGGCCCCGAGATGGGGAAAACCCAAAAAGAACCAGGAGAAAATCCCAAAGATGGAAGGGAACCCCAAAGATTTGGGGGGAGCGCCGTGGACTAAAGGGAAATCTCACAGATCTGGGGGGAGAAGCCACAGTTAAGGGGATTGGGGAACCCCCCCACCAGCCTGGAGGGACCCCAAAGATTGTGAGGAGACCCCCAAGGACCTGGGGAAACCCCAAAAATTGGTGTGAGTCCCCCCCCCACCCCAAAATTGGGGAGGACCCCATTTCCTCCCCCCAGCACTCACCACTCTGGCCACGAACAGGGTTTTGAAGGCATCTCCTTGAGCATTGGGGTCATTGTGGGGGTCCCCTGGGGGAAAAAAGGAAAAAAGGGGGGGTCAGGAGGGGTCAGAGGAAAAAGGGGAACCCCCACCCAGCCCCATGGGACCCCCCCCAAACTTACAGAGCTTGAGCTCGGACTCCACCTCCTGCTGCCTTCGCTCGATCTTCTCCCGCCGCTGTTGGGGGGCAAAGAGATCAAAAAAAAAAAAAAAAGGGGAGTGGGGTGACCTCAGGGGGGGGGTCCCAAACCCACAAACTCCACCCACAACCCCCCAAAATCCAGCGGGGACCCCAAAAAAATCCCAGCGGTGGAGGGGGAGCACAACGCAGGAGGATCCCAGAGGGGACGAGCCCAATTCTGCATCGGGCCAGAGCTGAAATTTAGGGGGCAACACCCCCTTGGTGGGAGTTTTGGGGACCCCCCACGGCA